ACTGAAATTCTAGTAAGAAGACCAGACTTAATGGTCTGACTGAGACTGGAAGAACCCTGGAAAGCATGGCCCCTGGATTCTCTATCAGCCCAGAACTAAGACAGTTTCCGAGGCCAGCTCTTCAGACAGGGGTTGGACTGGACTGTGGGACATAAAGTGATACTCAGGACGAGTGGGCCTCTTAGCTCAAGTAGATACAAGAGACTAAATGGGCAGCTTCTGTCTGGAGGTGAGATGGGAAGGCAGAGAAGGGTAGGAGCTGGTTGAATGGACATGGGGAATCGGGTGGAAAGGAGGAGTGTGCTGTCACAGTATAGGGAGAGCAATTAGGGTCACTTAACAAAGTATGTATAAATTTTTGTATGGGGAAAAAAAATTTTAAGGAAAAAAAAAAAGGTCGGCAATTCAAATCTACCAGCCGCTCCTTGGAAACCCTATGGGGCAGTTCTTTTCTGTCCTGTAGGGTCACTATCAGTCAGAATCAACTCAACAGCAATGGGTTTGGTTTTTCAATGTAAAAATACATAGTAAGCATTTATCATTGTGTGCCTCACACACTGTAAACATTCAATAAATGCTTTATTATCACTATTACCGGGTATCTTATCCTAGACCAAATATTAATCTTTTTAAGTAGCATCCCAAACAGGTGGCTGTCTGGTGAGAAGAGAGTTCAAAACTCTAGTCCATTCCAATAAATGACAGCTAGTAATAGTTATTTTATATATTGAGAGACTGTTTGCCATCCTGTAATTTCCATTCTTAGTCGTATTTCTGTTCCCTAGAGCCATTGAGAACAAGACTATTCTGCATGGCAGTTGTTAGGCTATTTGAAGGTAGCATTCAGGGCTTTTTTCTTTTTCTATTCCCAAAGATTAATTTAAACAGAAAAGAGATTTGAAATCAGTAGGGCTTAAAAAAAGAAAGCAAGCAAGACAAGAGGTCAGTAGCCGTGACCCTACTTTGGTAGTGGGTCTTTGGAGGTTTCTGGTCCTTAGGGGTGCTTTCTGAGAGGCAGGGCTGTAGCTTTCTCAGCTGATGGCTTGGGTGCATGAAATAGTCAGGATAGGTGGAGGTCACTGTTGGTAAGAACTCTTTGCTTACTGCTGGCAGGCTTGAGCCAGACTCCCCCTGCAGAGTTTGAATGTGCCAGGTCTGTGGGTACCCCTGTGGTGGGCTGCTCCAGGACCCCACCCCGCCTGCTCAGCCTGGGCTCTTTGGCCAGCTGCCACGCTGTCAGGTGTCCTGGTTCTCACCTGCGTGGCATGCCCTCTACTTCATGAGGTTGCAGTCCGCTCTCAGGCTTTTTGGTTTTGTTTTTGAATTGATGTGTAATTAGTGGCTGTGATGAATTACGCCGGGCAAGCAAATGATACCTTTCCTAAATTATGCCACAGGGTTGTGTAGGTCAGCGGCAGAATTGCTATTTTAAAATGGGATTTTGTAAAATAAACCATGTGTCTAGATGACAGGAAGTACTAGCTTGGTGATTAATTGATGCTCTGGAGCTGGCCTCGTGCTTTGTTTCACATGCTTCCATTTTTGTGATCATCCATCTCATGAGGTTTCCGCAGGCCACCCCCCTGATCACTCGCAGATAGCTTGTTTTCAGTTTTTCTGCCCTCTGATGCCAGGGTAGGTGGCCATTATGAGACCCGTTAACCGTTGTCATCGAATCATTCCGACTCATAGCCACCCTATAGGACAGAGTAGAACTGCCCCATAGGGTTTCCAAGGCTGTAATCTTTATGGGAGCAGATCGCCAAGTCTTTGCTGGTGGGTTCAAACTGCTGACCTTTCAGTGAGCCACCGAGCATTTAACCACTGCGCCACTAGTGCTCCTTCATTAGGAGACAGTGCAGAGGACTCCTTCTGTCTGCACCTGGGTTAGGGTGTCAGATGATGAATGACCTGAGGCTTCCTGATCCTTTGCTGTTGATATTGCCAGGCTACTGAGGAGTTTGCAACCCTGCCATTAGTGTCATCGATGTCTTCGCATTAGAGAGGGCGGCTACTCAGGAAAAGGGAAGATTCCTTAGAAAAGAGTTGCTTTTTGCACCGAGGGGGTAAAGATTTGAGTCTGCTGCTTCATACCCAGCACTTGCCAGAATTTGATTTCTCGAAGCCCTTCTGTGCAGCATAAGCATGTGGTCTGTGTTCCCTGAAACACGAGCCAGATAGAAAGTTTATGTGTGTCTGAGAACAGTTCAGAAAAGGCACTGAGGAAAGAAGCCATTGCAGAATTGCTAACTAGGGGTGGTAAACAGGGCCCATCCCTTTGGAGTTGACAGAATAAGGGAGGTGTCATCTCAGATGCCACCCAGAATGCTGAGGGCCGGTGGGTTCCCTCATGTGTGGCATTTCTTCTGGGGGAAAGACTGTGGTCTGTACCCAGCTTGGTGGGTTAATATCAAGCAGCGGACGCCTGGACTGGGCATCTCTTCTGGAACAGCATGGAGGCAGAAGAGGAAGCCCTGGAATCAGACAGGCCCACCTCCCTCTGTCAGGGACTTGGCCTTCCTGAACCTTGCTTTGTTCATCTGTTTTATAGACCTATATAGTAGCTCCTGACCAGAAGGTCTTGAAAATTAAATAGCATCATCATTCATTTACTAAATAATTGAGTGGATGTGTGGATCCCTGAAAGGGCCTACCCAGTGCACAGTGCAGTGATCCCTCAGGAAATGTTAGCTCCACTGGGGGAGAGGTCACCAGTGAGCTGGGGGCACCGGGAGCCTCAGGTTAGGAGAGTGTCAGCCTTCCCACTGCCCAAGTACAGTGATGGCCGCCCCTTTGTAGCTGGGCACCACATGGTAGCAAGCCCTCCGGGCTGGCCATTAACTCTGTTTTCTCTGGGGTGAAAGTCCTTTGTGCAATTAACAGCTTTTAAGCCAGGGAATTGATGGCTTTTGCCTCGACGTTCCTCAGAGTTCACCTGCCACCAATCTGGGGCCCCACAACGGTGGGCAGACTGCTCTTCTCTGGCCTGATGGGCGCCGCTCCCCAGGCAGCACTAAGAGCAGTGGGATGCTCTCAGGAGCCTCCCCTAATTGAGTTCAGGCCCAGGCCTCTGTCCATCGCACACGCCGCCTTCTTGTGTTCATTGGTGGCACCCAGGATGCCTCCCTGGTGCCCCTTCAACTGGCAAGAGTTGCTTGAAACCATAGGCCTCAGAGGAGGCCAGTAGACTCCCTCTTGGTTTTCACCATGACTTCCCGTTTCTTTGTGGTTGTTAGGTTAGATTCCGACTCTTAGCAACCCTTTATGACAGAGTAGAACTGCCCCATAGGGTTTCCTAGGCTGCAGTCTTTATGGGAGTAGATCACCAGGTCTTTTCTCTCAAGGAATGGAGTCGCTGGTGGGTTTGAACCGCCCACCCTTTCAGTTAGCAGCCGAGCACTTAACCATTGTGCTACCAGGGCTCCTTCCCTTCCTTTAAAACCCGTTGCTGTCGAGCAGACTGCCACATCTTTCTCCTGAGGAACAGCTGGTAGGTTCTAGCACTGACCTTTCAGTTAGCAGCCGAGCACTTAACCACTGTGCCACCAAGGTTCCTCCCTTTCCTTTGTTGTTGTAATGTGCCATCTAGTCGGTTCCAACTCAGCAACCCTACAGAACAGAGTGGAACTGCCCCCATAGCGTTTCCAAGGATCAGCTGGTGGATTCAAACTACCAACCTTTTGGTTAGCAGCCCAGCTGTTAACCATTGCACCACCAGGGCCCCTCCCTTCCTTTAGATCTATGATATTGCGGATGCAACAGTGGGCTTTCCTTCCCTGAAAGAGGGAGTGTGGTTTCCCCTGGGGAATTTCTGTTTTATTTATTTCCTTGATTTTTACTTTTAGTTGTTTTCCTTATCTCACACCGTACACCAGAATAAGTTCCAGAGTGATCACAGAGTTAAACTTTAAAAAAAATAAGAAGGGAAAAAAGGAGAGAGACTATCTCGTGTAGGATTAGAGAAAGCTATCCTAAGCATAAAAACAAAGGAAGACATCATAAAGAAAATGGCTGGTCTTGAAAACCTACAATTTCTGAGTTATAAACGTCAGAAAATTCAGTGCATAAATTAGAAGGCAGATAACAAAAGGGGGAGAAATGTAAATGTCTATAAAATAAATAGCTAAAATAGTCATTCCTTAATATTCAAAGACCTCTTTCAAGGATAAAATGAAAAGAACTACACCTACAGGAAAATGAACAAAGAAAGTGAATTAGGAAATTCACAAAGTTAGAAACACAGGTGTCTAAGAATATGTTAAACTAGTTGTCTGAAATATGTAAAAATAAATAAATAATAACATAATTGTGGGTTATTTCCAACAGTGAAATGGAGCCCTGGTGGTACAGTGATTAAGAGTTCAGCTGCTAACCAAAAAGTCAGCAGTTCAAATCTACCAGCCATCCTGTGGAAACCCTATGGGGCAGTTCAACCCTGTCCTATAGGGTCTGTCCTATAGGGTCACTATGAGTCAGAATCAACTCGATGGCAGCGGGTTTGGTTTTGGTGGTTTTTCTAACAGTGAAAACTTGAAACAACCTAAATGGTTAACAATAGGATTTTCTTTTTAAAGTTATTGTATATTTGGATGTCTTTAAAATCGTGTTGTAAAAGAATATTTAATGGTTAGATATAAGGTCACAACATACTTTAAATGAAAAGAGCAGGTTCAAAACGTATTATCTCCATTTTGTTAAAAAAAAAAATGATAAAGAGTATACATCAAAATGTGGACAAAAGTTACCTTGAGCTGATGTACTTCTATATTATTATTTTAATTTTTACCAAAAAACAAGTATTTTAAATGTGTTTAGGTGAAAAAGAAAATTTGGGAAAGTGAGTTGAAGCATCTAGAAAAACCGAGAGAGGAAGAACTTACCCCTGTTCTGTCTCTTGGGAGGGGCCATGTGGAATCTCCCTGGCTTTCCCTAGAGTCCAGTCCTCCTCATTCTCCGCTCTCCAGTTCCTGCTACTAAGACAACTGCTCATTTCTCCTCAGGATTGAGTACTGAAGGCATCTATCGAGTCAGCGGAAACAAGTCAGAGATGGAGAGTCTACAGAGACAGTTTGATCAAGGTAAGGCCCTTGGACCTGGCGTCTGGAGCTGGAGCCAGTCACAGCAGACGCCACACAGAACAGACAGGGGGAGCTCAGGGAGGGGACTGCAGTGTGGTCCTGTGGGGGCTACAAGAGAGGCTCCTGCCACCTACAGACCCAAAGCCAAAGGTGCTGGCTCAGGGACTGCGTGAATAATAGCTGGCATGAGGCTAATTTACAAAATACGAAGATAACTAATGTCTCTGCTTCCCACTTCATCATTCTGACACCAGCCACCCATGTGACACTTTCTCTCTGAACCACCCAGAGTTGGGTCTCCACAAGTTAGGACTCCATCCTTCCTGCCCAATAGGCAAACGCCAGCCTCCCTGCTGGCCCTCACGGTCCCAGTGGGTTCTGTAATTCCTAGAATGACACACAGAATCACCGAGACTGTTGCCTACAGTTATCCATTTATTATAACCAGAAAAGATACAAATGAAGAGCTGCATCAGGCAAGGTCTGCGGAGGTCCCTGCATGAGGCTCCCATTGTGCCAAGTATGGATGTTCGTACCAATCCCAGAAGCCCCAAAGAGAGCGCCCCAAGGTCCAGAGTCCCCTAGTCATTGGGGCTACAATGAATATGCACAACTAGGGCCTTAATGCGTAGTCACGACCGATCTAGTCAGTGAATGTGCATGGCTGCATCAGGCTGCCTCCCTTCTTGAGGCCTGTATCCATGGTAGGGCTTAGGTAGCCTCTTATTTATTTACATTGGTCTGAGTTTGGCCTGGCTGTTTTAGAAAGACACAAAGCACCTTAATTGCTCAGACTGTTTTCAAAAACCAGTGACAAAAAGCCAGACTTAGTTCTTTGTCCCACAGTGACTGAGAGAGGGAGAGCGAGCAAGGGAGCAGGCCCTGCCAGGGGGCAAACACATCAGCCCTGCCAGGCTGCCTCCCCACATCGCCATCGTCAAGCAGGGTCCCAAGTTACCCTTGCACGTGCCTCTCACCACCAAAGGGCCCTGCTTCCCTAGGACTGGGCCATGCCAGGGTTAATCGCAGGTACATGATATCAAAGTTGGGTTGAGGTGACAATTACATTTTACCAGGGCCCCAGGAGTTGCCCCAGCCATGACTCCTCTCCTTGCAAGGCCCCTGTACAAGCAAAACAAACCCAAGGAACATTCTATGATTAGTTGGGCCTTAGAACCCAGACTCCCAAAGCTCACCTTTTGTGAGTTGTGTTAGCTCTTGACGAGGGCTCCCTTCTCTTAAGCTAGGCCAGCTTAGAGAGCCATATGGTCAAATCTGTTGCACCCTGACCCAGTGACCAAACTCTTAACTCTTGGAACTGACCTCACAGTGGGGTCAGAAGCCACACCCACTAATGAGCCAGAGCACTAGGAGGTCCCAGGTGAGCCGGGGACCCAAGGTAGGGTCCGACTCGGCATAGACTCTAGGAGACAAAGCCAGTCAGAAGCCAGGCAGCCCATGAGGGCCTGCAGGACAAAGCTGTTAACCAGTCACCAGCATGCAGCCAGGAGCAGACACACACCCAAGCACCCATCGGGGCCAGAAACACCTGCCACACCCCGAGGCAGTCTCAGCTGGCCAACAGCATAGAGCCTCCCAGCGAGTGAAGGCGAACCACACCAGAGAGGTGGGAACCTCTGTTAACCTTGTGCAGTGGGAAGCATGAGGTGGAATGAGGGGAGAGCCACACACCTGGGTGTGCAAGAATCTGTCACACCGTTTATTCTCCAGAAATAGACACAGGCTGATGATTTCTTAATAGCCAGGAGTGCAGTCTAGTATGTAAAGAAAAGTAAGAGACCGAGGTTAGGGGAGGCAGAGGGAGAAAAGAGGAGTCTGTTGGTTCCACCACCATGAGGGTACGAGGATAGAGGCCGAAGACAAGACTGTGTGTACCTTTTGTGTAATCCACCATAAAAAGTGAGGTGGCCCTTTAGGAAATCCTCCTTTTTTCCCTGATGGGGAAGGGAGTGAGGAAGAGGTAGTCCCACATCAAAGCCAGATGAAGGGGGCTGGGTGACACCAGTAATCAGGTGGGGGCAGCTACACCTGCCCTGTCCGAAGGACAGCAGACAGCTGGTCCTGTGGCCTTGGCAGGAGACGCGGGTCTTTGGGTATGTCTAGAAATCTCAGGACTCTTTAGCAGCATCCAGGACTGCCACCTCCTCTCTAATTCGTGGTAACCCTGAGTCCCGGCCCAGGCACCAGGCCTGCCTGGCGCCATCCCAGGGCCCTCAAGCCTTCTCTGACTGACCCCAAGTCCTGAGTTCTCCTCTTGCCTCCGCCCAGCCTGGACTGGCCTGGCCTCACACTCCCACCTTCCTTGCAGACCACAGCCTGGACTTGGCTGAGAAAGATTTCACCGTGAACACCGTGGCCGGTGCCATGAAGAGTTTTTTCTCAGAACTGCCAGACCCCCTGGTCCCATACAGCATGCAGAGCGACTTGGTGGAGGCGCACAGTGAGTACTGGCCGACCCCGTGTACACCATGTACCCCCACCACCACCCCATCCCACGCCGCAACACTTAAGACCCACTCAGAGTTGGACTACCAGGGAGAGGGATGCAGCAGTATGAGCACGTGTCCTGCTGGCTTCCTGCCCCCCGGGAGCTGACACTGACTCTTGGAGCTGAAAGGTGAAGGACACAGGGATGATGCCAAAGGGATTTGCAGATTGGGCCCCTGCCTTAGTAGCCCAGAGGTGCTTACCTGAGGGTCACAGCAAGGGACTCACACTTTCCCCAACAACTACATTAGGTAAGAGCATGGTTGTGGCGTCAGACTTGGCTTCAGATCCCTGCTCATCTCCTTATTTACAGTGAACCCAACCATGCCTGGTGGAACCTTTCCTGATCCTTGGTTTCCTGCTGTTACTCTTCCTACTTGGATTTATGCAGTGGGACTTGGTGTAGGAAAGTGTTGGAGACTGGACTGTAAGCCTATCAAGTAGTAGGAGATGCTTTCCTTTCCCCGTTTCTCACTCACCCCTCTTCTCCTTCTCCCGTGTAGGGAGTTCAGCATCTTGGCCTGGGGCCAGAAAGCTTCTTGTTGTTGTTATTAGGTGTCGTTGAGTCGGTTGCTGCTCATAGCGACCCCATATACAACAGAACGAAATACTGCCCAGTCCTGTGCCATCCTCATGATCATTGTTATGTTTGAGCCCACTGTTACAGCCATTGTGTCAGTCCATCTCATTAAGGGTCTTCCTCTTCTTCACTGACCCTGTATTTTACCAGGCATGATGCACTTCTCCAGGGACCGATCCCTCCTGATAACATGTCCAAAGTATGTGAGACGAAGCCTTGCCATCCTCGCTTCTAAGAAACATTCTGGCTGTACTTCTTCCACGACAGACCTGTTCGTTCTTTTGGCAGTCCATGGTATATTCAGTATTCTTCACCAACACCATAATTCAAAGGCATCAATTCTTTGGTCTTCCTTATTCATTGTCCACCTTTCTCATATGAGGCGTTGAAAACACCAAGGCTTGGGTCAGGCACGTCTTAGTCCTCACAGTGACATCTTTGCTTTTTAACACTTTGAAGAGATCTTTTGCAGCAGATTTGCCAAATGTAATGTGTTGTTTGATTTCTTGACTGCTGCTTCCGTGGGCGTTGATTGTGGATCCAAGTAAAATGAAATCCTTGACGACTTCAACCTTTTCTCCATTTAACATGATGTTGCTTATTTGTCCATTTGTGAGGATTTTGTTTTCTTTATGTTGAAGTGTAATCCATTCTGAAGGCAGTAGTCTTTGATCTTCATCAGTAAGTGCTTCAAGACCTCTTCACTTCAGCAAGCAAGGTTGTGTCATCTGCATATCACTGGTTGTTATGAGTCTTCCTCCAGTCCTGATGCCGGGTTGTTCTTCAGCTAGTCCAGCTTCTCGGATTATTAGAAGCCAGCATCTGGGGGTGGGGCAGCTCCAGAGGCACTAGCCCCAGGGCCCACTGGGGGCTGCAGCAAGTTCGCCATATCTGGTGTTCATGGCTCCCTTTGTGTGCCATCCCGGCTGTTTCCACCCAGGCCTGCCTCTCTCATGAAGCGTTCGTCCACCCATATGAGGGGACCAACCACTCTGAGCACTTACTGCCTTTTCTAGCTGAGGACAACCTTCCTACTTGCAGCGCTTGTGAACCAAGAGCCCCAGAAGCAGCTGTTGCTGCACAGCTGCAGAAGGGCGTGCCCTTGCCAGCCACCCAGAGAGCCCAGCTGCCCAAAGATCCTGGGGTAGGAGGCAAGAGGGTGGCGGGGCGGCACCCCTCATACCACAGGACCGCAGGCTCATCTTGTCACTGCCGTACTCCAAGGAAGGAGTTTTCAGCAACACAGTTTACTCACAACAAGGCTGATAGCCCGGGTGAAAAACAGTGAAGTGCCAGATAAGCTCGTCTTTGGGTCCCAGGCCACAGACTCCTGGTGACCTCAAGGGGCAGGGAGGCCCTGATCTGTGCAGTGCCATCTGACTGAGTGCCTTCCAGTACCTGGGTGCTGCCTTTGCCTTGATCTGGCCACGTGGCCTTGGCTGGTTGGCATTGTTCACAGCTCCTCATCGTCTCAGCCACCAGGAGGGCTGGGAGCACATGTTCCTGCCAGGACGGTCCTCAGGTTGCCTGGCCTTCTCTCCCGGCTGCCTTGTGGAGATGGGTTAAGGGTGGAGGCAGTGCTGGCTTCTCGGTTCACCCTGTCACCCAGAGAGGTTCTCCCCACAGTCCCTTCTCCAGCAAGCTCTAGGCTGGCCCAGATGTGAAATGCAGAGGAAATCTCCATCTAGAGCCAGCTTCCTGTCAGCCAAGCCTGTCTTTGAGTGGGATTCAGGAAGAGAGGAAGGAAGGTGTGGACTGGTACCCAGCTTGCTGGAGGCCCAGGGAATCCTGTCAGCATTTGTCTTGACTTGGTGCCATCTAGAGGCTTAGAGCATCCCTGCACCCAGCAGAATCCCATTGTTTCTGGGGGAGCTGCTAACATAGCATATTTTTGTTTTGGGAGTGCAGTGGGGGCAGGAGAGGGAGGTGTTATTGATAGACAATCAGCTGTCCTTCCTATCGCAGCTTCCGCCCGCTTCCAAAGCTGAGGAGGTAGCTTCTCGCTGCTGCTGCAGCTGCTGCCTGGAAAAGGGTGGAAGTTTTCCGCTTCCTCTTCCCATTGTGTGTTTCCTGTGCCCCAAGCCAGTCAGTGGGGCTGCATCACCTTGAACCTGGAAGAAGGGGGAGAGAGGGGTGGATGTCGCTGACACGGCACCTCCGACAGTGGCCAGAGCTGCTGAGTGAAGTTGGGTGTCGGGAGATGGCTTTAATCAAACCACAGAAACAGCCCCTGGCTGGGCAAAAGTTAGTGTTCACAGACACAATGAAAGGAAGATTCCCAGCTTTGGTGGGTTTCCATGGCAACGTCAACTTGTCCAGCCCTTTTCAGTTAATACCTAAGAGCTGTTGTGTCTGTGTGTGTTCAGGGCTTGGAACTAGTTTCAAGTCCCATCACAACAAATACCAAGGTCATTATCAAATTGTTTTGGTAGCTCCAGAATCTCACAATATTGAACATTGCTGAAATGTGCACACAGAGTAGAGATTTGTGTGATTATTCACCACTTGTGTTCTTGCTGGAATCCCTGGGTGGTGCTCAGCTGCTGACCAAAAGGTTGGAGGTTTGAGTCCACCTAGAGGTGCCTCTGAAGAAAAGCCTGGCAGTCTGCTTCTGAAAGATCAGCCATTGAAAACCCTATGGAGGGCAGTTCTACTCTGACACACATGGGGGTGCCATGAGTCAGAGCCAACTCCACAGCAACTTTTTTTGTGTTTGTTTCTGCGACTTGTGAGGTGATGTGTAGGAGATTCTGGAGGGAATAACAACAGCCGTAGCTCCCAGTTACTGTGTGCTCATAACGTGCTGGGCTGGGCTCTCTATTGGGCATTGATGTACACAGCTGATTGCATTTCACTCCAATGTCACTTTGAGGGAAGTGTTGTTAGGATCTGAAAGGGGACACAGCTTACCCGGGTCACCCCACTAGGGAGTGGGATCTGCCCTCCATGATGCCCTTTTAAGTTGTCTGCCAGACAGAATGGAGCCAGCTGAGCCAGAAAGGCAGAAAAGGCAGGGCAGAAGCAACAAGGTTGAGGGCTTCGTGGGGGTGGCGGCGGCACCCAAGCTGTGGCTTCGGCTAGGACCAGGATCTCAGGAGGCCAAGAAAAGGCTTCGTTGGCCCCACATCTTCTCGCCCTCACACCTCAACCCAGCTTTCAAGAAGTCTTTCTGCTTTTTCTTGCTCGTATTTTTTGCGGGGTTGCAGAAGCCTCTGCAGCCTGGTAGAGGAGGTGATGTGGGACAGGCAGCTAGGAGCCAGGCCTGGGGTCGGTCTGGTCCCCACCCCCACCCCTCTCCAGCCTATGGCCCTGGCTTTGCCTCTGTGGGTTTTCTCATCCAGCAAATGGGGTAGCTTTGTAGTGAGGGCTGCACAAAGGTCAACTGTGAAGTTGTTCTGCCAACATTCCAGCACCGTCCAGATGCAAGGACTCACAGATGTCGTTACTGTTGTGAAAAGGCTGCCAGCGTGAGCCTGGGCCCAGGTCCTTCAGCACAGAGCTGGGGTCTACTTTGCTGGAGGGAGGCGCTGAGTGGGGTCAGGTCAAAAGGATGTCAGCAGGACTGACTGAAGTTTTGGTTTTGAGTTGGGGGCCTGGGAGCACTCCCATTGCTCTCCTTGATGTCCTCCCTCCTCCTCCTCCTAAGCCCTTGATGCTATTCAACATCACAGCTCCTGACCAACCAGCTGGGCGGAGAAGGAGAGAATGACGCGGAGACCGACTAAGGAGGCCCTTGTTGTGGGCACCTTGGTGGAATGCCTCGTGAGGACGGTCCCTGGGTTATTATCACCGCAGGCTCTGAGACCCCCCCCTGCCCCCAAGGAAGGAAGGAAGGAACCAGCTGACCTTGCTGCTCAGGAGTTAGGACAGGGCTGTCCCCTGCTGACAGTGGCCCTGGCAGCCCCTCCTGCTCCAGCCAGGAGGACAGGGTAAGGCACGCCCGGCCCGGTGTGAAGGTGCTGCGCTGGAGGAGGGTCTGATTAAAACAAACACAGTTGTGTTGGTGTCGGGTAGGCACTTAAGGAGACCTGTGACGAGCTTGCATCTGGAAGGGGCATGACTGTCAATATTATTAAGTGCCACTTCGAGCCATCCACATGCTTTTCAGTAGAACCTCCCATCCTCCTTGCAGCAAGAGTTTGTCTTTTTTTTTGGGTAAACTTTTTGTTGAAGTATAACAGCAAGGGGTTGTGCCCTTGAGGTTGTTGTTGTTAGCTGCCGTCCACTTGGCCCCGACTCGTGGCGACCCCATGCACAGTGGAACAGAACGCTGCCCAGTCCTGCACCATCCACATGAGCGGTTGCAGATAAGACTGTCGTGATCGCCATAGGGTTTTCACTGGCTGGTTTTTGGAAGTAGATCACCAGGCCTTTCTTCCTTGCCCATCTTAGTCTAGAAGCTCCGCTGAAACCTGTTCAGCATCATAGCCACATGCAGGCCTCCACTGACAGACGAGTGGTGGCTGTGCATGAGGCGCGTTGACCACGGGTCTCTCCATCGTGGAAGGCGAGAATTCTGCCACTGAACCACCACCGCCCCCGTGTCCTGAGAATGAACCTTGGAAACAAACCTTAGATTCAAAAAAAAATGGAGCTCCTAATGGCCCCACCATAATTAGTCCCTATGGTTTTTTAGTCATTTTCTAACAGACAAATGTTCCCAAAACGCTGCCTTTACCAAGTCACACTCTCAAGTCCAAAAAAGCCTGCCTGCTTTCACACTCATTTAGCCTGCAGGGTGGCTCTTTAGCTCCCTCCCTGGTCCCCTGTGCCTTCTGCCACTATTGCCTGAAGGCTCCTGGCCCCTGGGTATCGCGGCTGACTGCGTTGGCCTCAGCTCTCCACGTCACGGCGTGGTTTCACCGAGGGAGGGCGCCACTGCTGTCAGCCCATCACAGACAGGCAGACTGACACGGGTGTGTCACTTGCCCACGGTAACACAGCCGATTGGTGTCCGAGATGGGACTCTTACCTGGATCCATCTGCACCGCGGTTTGTGCTCTGAGCCACCATGCGACCCCCCTCCCCGCTGCGCCCTCCCAGCACCTCTCCAGCCCAGGCCAGGCCCTGTAGGCAGCTCCCCAGACTGGGCCCTCCAGGCACTTCACCTGCTGCAGAGGCCCTGAATTCGGAGGCCAGGAGCTTCCTAAAACATACTTGGGCTGGGCAGGGGGGGTCCATGAACCTCCAGGGATGGTCTCAGAATTGTCCACGTGTACATCTGTGGAGATGGCTCATAGCTTTCGTCCATCTCAAAGGAGCCCGTGCCTTCAGAGTGGTCAGAGACCATCGTCTTTTTTAACATACCCCCTCCCCACCCACCCTAACCATCAGTGTGAGGCAGATGCTGTCCCTTCATCCTGCCTGCCTGGGGTCTGTTTTGTTAATTTGTTGTTGTTGAGAGTATGCACAGCAGAACATACACCAATTCAACTCTCTCTGCATGTACAGTTCAGTGACATGATTGCATTCTTCAAGTTGTGTGACCACTCTATCACCCTCCTTTTCTGAGTTGTTCCTCCCCCATTAACATAAACTCACTGCCCTCTAAGGTTGCTAACCTTTTGAGTTGCTATTGTCAATTTGATCCCGTACAGATAGTTCTTGAAAGAGCTCAATGCTCGAGGCAGACAGTCTTTACTAGTTATGCTAAACTGTTGTTTGGTTTAAAGAAGACTTCAGGGAATATTTTTGGTTCCACCTGTGGTCTTTAGAGCCCTGGAGTCCTGGAGACAGCCTTCAGTTCCGAGATGTCACTACAGGAATATCCTTCCACATGCAGAGAAGTCTCTCTTGGCCAGCTGCTGACCCCCAGGTGGCTCTGCACCTCGTTTGCCTCAACAGCCCAGGCTGGCTTTCCCGGCCAAGGTGGCCAGGCCCCTGAGGCGCACAGTGGCTGCAGCTCAGGCTCTGCAGCCTGGCGGACAGGGCCTGGTTCCCAGCTCTGCAGCTTGTTAGCTCCGTGACCTCAGGCAACTAAGTCAGCCTCTGGGCTTTAGGTTCCTGTCCTTGAAATGGGGGTGATCACAGCCCGTCTCATAGGTCAGGGAGGCCTAACTGGACCAGGCCTGGTGTGTCTCAGCACTTGGTTGGTGTCAGCTTCCCTCCACTGCAGCCCGTCCATTAGGATTCCACGATGGTCAGAGCGTGGGCAGCAGTGGAGGAGAGGTGCCTAGCGCCTTTGATGAACTGCACAAGAGTCCCCCACTGTTCCCACCAGCCCCTCCAACAAGGGGACGTGTGCAGCATCCCTGTGTCTCTAGGAAAAGGACAGAGCCCTGGTCCCGTGACAGCTCCCTCCCTAGAAAGTCTGCTGGGTGAGTGGGTGGGTGGCCACACTCACCCGTCTGATCAGGAAGCAGGCAGGCTTTCTGCATTGGGATCCTGTCTCCAGGGGCAACCGGACGAGCAAAGAATGGTGTTCTTTATGGTGGAGTCGCTCTAGATCGCTCGTCTTGGTGGTGGGGGCCCAGAATCCCCCGGCACACAGTGCTCCCCTTCAGCAGGGCCTGGGACCCAGAGGTGGGCCTCGGTCGGGGCCCTCACCACCACCAGGTGTGCGGCCTGTGTGCAGTCTTTGGGGACAGAGTGAGGTGGCCTTGTCTGGAAGGCCTGGCTGGCCCTCAGAGAAGGCCCAGCAGAGACCACATGCTCAGGCGGCCGCCAGTCCACTGGGCTCACCAGCGCCCTGCATCTGCTTTGAGCCACAAGATGCCCGCCAACCTTGGCCATGAGAGTCTTTGGTTTTTTTCTCCTCAGAAATCAACGACCGGGAGCAGAAGTTACATGCCCTCAAGGAGGTACTGAAGAAATTTCCAAAGGAAAACCACGAAGTCTTCAAATACGTCATCTCTCACCTAAACAAGTACGTGGCAGGCCTTTCTGATTGGGCTTTCCTCCTCCAAGCATCAGCTCAACAGGCACGGTCAGTGAAGGGCTGTGAGCCGGCCAGGTCAGGGCTTGCCTGCGGGGGCTCAGGGTCCCCCCATGCGTGGGGCCTGCCTGGCTCACCCGTGGAGGAGCACCTCAGCTCTGGCCTTACGCACGGGTTGGGTGCTGGTGCTAAGCAGCCACATGGCTCAGGTATGGAGGCCCTTTTGCAGCAGGCCATGCACTTGGCCTCACTGCACCCAGTGGGGATGAGGGGGCAGTCTTTAGAGTCCATGGCCCTCATCTAATCCCTAGGGCTATCAGGCTCAGATCCTCTGGTTGGGAGGGATGCTTCCAGAATCTGCCCCTGAAACAGAAAAGCGTAAGAGCCTCCCAAAGTCATCTGTCCAGTATTAGTGTACCCCAGCGGGTGTGTCACGGGGCACTGTGCCGGGGCAGGTGTGTTGGGAAGAAAGCCGCCTCCGTTTAGCTTGTGTGGAGATGGTGTCAGCAAGAGGCTGGCTTAGCGAGCATTTCCCAGATTTACACGAGCAAAGACTAGGCTCGTGTTTAAGACAGACCTCTTACTCTCCAGACAGTGACGCTACTCGGTGCTCCGGCTGGGGGCAGCCCTCGCAGCTAGAGCACGCTGTCCCCACGTGGGGTCTCGGCAGGCGCATCCGATCCCATCAGCCCATCCCCGGTGTTTGTGGAGGCCTCCTGGGCCAGGTGCTGGTGAGGGCAGGACCCTCTGGCTAAAGGAGAGCGCCCCGGGACAGGGGGGTGACGGTGAGCACCCCCAGGGTGGGGCCTGCCCTGGGGCACTGACCCGCATTTGTGTCCCTGCAGAGTCAGTCATAACAACAAGGTGAATCTCATGACCAGCGAGAACCTCTCCATCTGCTTCTGGCCCACCCTGATGCGGCCCGACTTCAGCACCATGGATGCCCTCACAGCCACACGCACCTACCAGACAATCATTGAACTGTTTATCCAGCAGTGCCCCTTCTTCTTCTACAATCGTCCCATCAGCGAGCCCCCCGGGGCCACGCCCAGCTCCCCCTCCGCCGTGGCTGCCACCGTCCCCTTCCTCACCTCCACGCCGGTCACCAGTCAGCCATCGCCCCCCCAGTCGCCTCCGCCCACTCCCCAGTCCCCAATGCAGCCACTGCTGCCCTCCCAGCTTCAAGCTGAGCACACACTGTGAGCCGCCAGGGCTGGGCCACAGGGAGCACTGCTCTTCTCTCTGACGGGGTGGCATTTGGGCTTGAACACAGCCAGGTCCCCCCATCACCTTCTGGAGACCTCAGTGGCAGCACCTGGCAGCACCACCAAGGGTCTGAACATGTGGGGCTGTCGGGCCCTGAGCCATGTGCAAACCACCCTGGGGCTGGCTGGAAGCCGCTGCCACGGGGACCTGCCCTTTGACCTGGACCCCTTTGAGGACTGAATGAGTGAAGCAGCAGACCCGTGATCCCCATCACTGCCCATCTGCACGCACCAGCCTCTGGGCCTCGCTGACTGCTTGTACAGAACCACAGTGTGGACCGGGCCTGGCCTCGGCAGGTGGAGTCAGTGTCCCGGGATCTAGGCCGCCCAGTGAAGGGCCATCAGTCCCCGAAGAGGACACATCCCCCCCACTTTGTCTCCTCCCCCATCCCATATCTGCACCCCCCAGCTAGGGGCTTACCTGTTTAGCAGCCTCCTTGGGAACACGTAAGCAGGATTTTGCACCCCCAGGTACAATGCTGAGGGCATCTGCCTGGCAGACAGGAACAGAGGGGGCAGCCCTGCACCTGGACCACGAGAGTGCGACCCCCTCCCCCACAAGTCATCCTCCTCTTCGAGATACAGCCCTGTGCAGCAAAGGAACACTGGAAGAAAGATGGAAAACTCCAAGATTAAAAAAAAAAAAAGAGGATAAGTACAGACCACCTCAAGCTCTCCCCTCCTCTGCTGGGAGGCAGACAGGTGGAAGGGACCCTCATCTTTGTGACAGCAAACCAGGGATGCCCCAGGGGCCCTGCCCGAGAGCCTGTTGGGGGCCCATTTCTGTCGTGGTCCGTCCTCCCCAAGAAGATGGCATTGAACCCTCGATGGGGAGAGCTGAGGAGACGAGCAGGCCAGCCAGGATGCTGGGCTGCCTTGAACACACTACATTGCTGTGGAAACACTACTCATGCATGCGTGTGTGTCTGAGCATGTGCGTGCGTGTGAGAGCGTGTGCTTGTGGAGGTGTGAGTGTGGGTGAGGGGACAGCGGGAGGGGCCAGTGTGCACTGGGGGGTCCGTGGGTTTGGTGGTGTGGGTGGGATCTTTTTCTTCCTGAGCAGTGGAACAGCACCGGGTGGCAGGCAGGGGTGTCTGTGGGAAGCGGGTGGTGTGCGAGGAGCTCCTCCCTGAGTGGTGGTCCTTCGTGTTCCCAGGCCAGCAGGGAGTCAGGAGGAGGGCACTGTCTGCCTGTCACACTCAATGCTGTCCCCTGTGGCCTTGCCTAGCCCTTCCTGGGAAATGACCATCCCGTCAGCTTCCCGGCCTTCTCACCCCCTACATGCAGCAGCCCTGCCGGGCGGCCACACCATCAGCCAGTCTCTGTCTTCAGGGCTGGGCTGCGGCCTCAGCCTTGGAGGAGCTGATGCCTAGGCACCCTGGGCATGAGGGAGGTGGGCACGGGCCTTGCACGCACACTGTCCTCCTCGGTCTCTTTGCACTTTAAGAAGCAGGATCTGTGGTCGTGTTCCGAGGATGCCCAGTCACTACAGTCAGGTAGCCTGACCAAGTAAGAGATGGCTCCACACGGCTCTAGCCTCCACCCCTGCCCCCAGAAACTTCTTTGCTTGCCAGATCCGTCCTGTGGATAAGCCAGCTCTCTGACTGTCCCAGTCAGCTGTGTGTCTAGTTAGTGTGTGGCAAACGAGGTGCTAGGAAAAACTAAATCAGCCCTGTGGTTTTACCATGTCTCTGAACACTAAGTGAAAAAACAAACCCAAGGTACAGAAGTGTTTGAGGTAAATGTGGATGATGGCTTTGTTCTCTCCTGGAGACTCCAAGCGGGAAGGCGGGGTGTCAGTTCTGTTTCATTTTGACTGAGGCTGGCAGGCACATTTGTTCTCTGACCTCAAACTTCCCAAGCTCTGAGCCCCAGGCAGCAAGGAAATTACTCCCTTTAGTTCATCTCTACCTTTCTGTAGGTCATCCTCACCTACCACCCGTCAGCCCGTCAAGGAACCATCCAGTGTATGAACAGAAGCAAGTGGCCCAGTCCTCTCCCTAACGCTGCCACCTGTCTGCTGGCACCTGGGGCCATGTCCCCCAAGTTGTCACCTGAGAGCTTCGCTCCAGGTGCTTCATCAGCCCCCAACTCTCCCCCACTCCCACACTTCACTTGCTCCTCCCAACTCTTCGGTGCAAGAGGTGGGCACCATACTCTGTGGAGAGGAGCCCCTTGATTGTAAACTCAAAACTGGCTCCTGATGTGTGACATCTGAGGGTTACAGCTAGGAGAGGGGGTCTGCCCACCCCAGAGACTGCACTGACATAAATTGAGGTGGTTTTTCTGCATGTATTGGCTAGGCGGGGAGGGGGACAGGGAGGAGGAACACCGTGCTTTGTGTACCCTTCCTCACCCCACAAAACGCCAAAAGCCAGGTATGGGGGGCAGTAGGAAGCACTTCCGAGCCTTCCCGTCCCCAGCAGCTCCGCGTGTCCTGCAGCTTTGAGGGGCGGGTGGGTGTGACTCCTGCCCCTAAAGAGCCACAGTAGACTGGCAGTGCCAGGACTCCTGTTTCTGCCCCCCTCTGTCAGCGCTTCAGCCTCTTGCCCTGTGCTTCTCGGGGCTGCCATTACCAGTGGCAGTCCTGGACCCTAGGCTTCAGCTTCCAGTCAGGTCACCCTTGCACCAAACGAGCACTCGGGAGTGAGAAAGGAGACCTGGGGGTGCGTAGAGACAGCTGGACTTAGGCAGAGTGCTACCCACTCATGTTCACCAAGGGGCACCAGCTCCGGAGGACATGTTCCCGTATTTGATCTTTCTCCTCCCCACTCTGTGCAGTGCTAGAGGGGAGCCACCATGTTCAGTGGAAATGAGCCCCTGGATTCTAAGCTCTAGCTCCTGGAGCTGTGCCATCTGGGGGTTCCACCTAGGAGAGGGGTCCAGGTGAGGAGGCGAGGCTTGCATTCCAAGTTCCTGGCCTGTGTTGCATGTTGGGGCTCACACTACATTGGCTCATGCATCTTTCACATGTTCCCCCATCACTAAGTCTAAGGAGGAATATCGGATAAATACAGAGAATTCCTGTTTTCCATGCCCTACGCACCCCACCACCTTGTATAGTCTTCCTGCGTCAGGCAGGAAACTGCTGCTGGGCGAGATTTTTTTCCAGCAGCCTGTGTTTGTCTTTGCCAGGGTGGATGGAGGGTGACAGCCCAGGAGCAGATGTCAGCGGGGACAGGAGAGACCCCTCCCTCTGTCCTGGGGCCTCAGCTCCTGGTCTCGGGAGGAAGGGGCCTGAGGCCACTGTCCCCATGGTGTCGACATCCCCTAGACCGGAGTGAAGCAGTTTAGTTGTCACTCCATCTTTTTTCCCCTCCCCCATTCCTCTCCAGGGCAGAAGCCCACACTACTTTGGGGTGTTTGCTAGAAAAAAACGCAGCGGTCAAAGAAATGTCACCTCCCTGCTGCTGAATCATTGCTTTCCTGAGAGGGAAGCGCCCAGCATGCGGGTAACTTGCTGGGAAAGCAGGTTCAGGCTCCACAGTTCTCACTGTGATGGTGTGTGTGGTGCACGGGGACCCGCAGAAAGCAGCTGCGCTGGACTTCCTGTGCGGGGCCCGAGGCCGAGCACAGTGCCGTCACTGGCTCCCAGCCCTGCTGACTGCAAATGGTGGACCAGGGAGCCACCTTCACTCCTGTTGCTTGGCAGGTACAAGCCACTAATCTGCTCTTAGGTGAAAGGGGACAGACTAAGAAACGTAGCCACATCTGAGTGTGCTGATAACACTACAGAAGGCCTGACCTGAAGCCCAGCGGACGTTGTGAGGGGAAGCCTGGGCCTTCCCACGGGGCCAGGCCTGCATCGTGGTTCCAGGGGAAAGGACTCTGCTGACCTCCCTGCCTGTGGGCCACCATCAGCTGGCCACCAGCCCCTTCCCCAGCAGCCCTCTGTCAAACAGCAGTGATGTTACACTTTTGATGTAGTCAAGACAGGGCCTAAGTTATTGTTTGCATAAAAAAGAATCATGTTCCCTGTGTACATTAAAAAAAAAAAGCAATGTCTGAATTGTATGGGAATAAAACTTGTTTGAAAATTTGGAATAGTGCTGCTGCCAGCTTATTTTTCTGGTACTTGTATTTTCACATGTTAAATGATCTTTATATATGTTGAATTAACAAATATTTTGAGTTTCCTGAGAAAAAAACATATGAACGGTATTAAAATGTGTTAGTAGTCCGGCCGTGTGCCCAAAATTTTGTTTTGCAGCAAAGGTGGAGAAGTGTATGTAAAGAAAGTATAACAGTTAATTCTTTGTACTTTACGGCTTTAACCAGGACATCCCCTAGTTGGTGTTAGGAATGTTTGCTTACTTTCCAGACTTTTCTTTGGACACGTTGTGGGTTTGTTGAGGCTCCAAACTGATTTAGTGCATGGGCAGCCAGACCGAGGGGCTGTGGCATCTCGGGCTGAGGTGTTTGCATTTGGTTTTGTTTTTTAAAATCATGTATTTGCTACAAAGTATTGTACTTGTCTCAATGGGAATGGTGTAAAAAACTGAAAAGGCCTTATGTGATATGTATCATAGTTAATAAATCAATCTTGTAAAAAACCAAACCTGAGGAGTGAAGGGGGCCCTTCCCCCACCCTGGGCCAGCAGGCCTGGCCCCATCCCCACCCAGGGGCGAAAGGGACCCACCATGACCTGGTGGTACAGGGCCTTCTTCCCACCTCATGCCACCACTCCTTGCCTTTTGCTTCCTTCTGAGCTTTGTTCCTGAGGTGTGATTTCAGCATCTTTCAGGTTGTCACCCAAAGCACCACCCCCAGGCCGCTGGTGCCACAGAGGTGCAAGCACAGGCCACTCCCCATGGACCACACCAGTGGGGCTGGGAGGACTTGGCAGGATGGGGAGAGGGGGATAGACGGAAAGTCCCAGGGACAGGGTCATGAGTGGGCCCTTCAAGGGTTCAGAAGGAAGATACAAAGGCCAGAGTTCCCCCCGGGTGCAGGCACTGGGGTCAGGGACACACGGACCCAGAGGACCCCCGATGCAGCCTCTTGCCAGCGCTGGA